CAATATGAGTTTGGCAGCGAACATTGGATTTCGCCTAGCTGTATTCAGCCGTGTGATGATTATGATGATGTGGTTGACCGTGATTAGTTAAAACCCTGCGCCTAACCTCAGCATTGCTCGTCCTTCTGCCCCACCAGATTTGCGCAATAGTGTAGAATGCGATTCCAATGAGGTATGGTTGAGTTATCACAGCTGGTTTCAAGGGAGGCTAAGCAGCGAAAATTGAGTCGTTTTGCGCCGCGGTCACGGGATGCAGAACTTTCGGGATTGTCCAGGTGATAAATGTCGCCAAGATCCTTATGGGCGATATTCCCACGTGAACTTATATGAGGATCACAGTTGGTGATTCAAATGTTTATTGGAATAAGATAAATGCGACTAATATATGCGAAACCATGACGAAGAGTATCGAAATCCTTTCGTAGTTATTTATTTCAGGGAAAATCATAAGGGAACAGTAATGTATGACGTTCATAAACCAAAGAACATTCAGTTGAAAGCTTCGCTCTACATTCTCAAGGTTTGTGCATCTGGATGGATAAGCTACACAAGTTTTCACGTGTGAAGATCATCGTCGATTGTTCTCTTTGGTGACCCCTAACTAATCAGTAGTGTGTGGGTGTGTTCTGGTTACGACTACTGAGATGATAATTGAGGATTGCAGGGGGTGCTCTGGCCGCGACAGACGAAGAATGCATTCGAAACATCCAGAAGCGTTCGTAACCCACCTGAGCTCGTCGTTATCTAGACATTTCAGTGATTGGTTGTTGTGTACACCGAATATTACCCCGTTCATGTTTTTGCACATCGGCAACCGAAATAATTGTGTCAGTTTCTGTGCTTCGGTTTCAGTCTATGATTTCATCTTTTTACAAACATGCACTCCTATCTGAATGCGTCGTTCTTTTGCCCATAATTTTCCATGTTCGGTTTATGCAGGCGACAACATGCTCACAGCGGTATCTGTGGCGCGCGATTGCGAAATGATAGACGAATTAGACCGCATTGTGATCGTTTCTGCAAAACCACCTCCACCATCACCGCAGTTGTCGCAGGCACCCTCGATTCACACCAGCCCATCCAATATAACCTCAACTGCAGCTGGTGGGGATGCGAATTGGACAAACAACGTGCCGATCACGCGTGACTCAAATTTGGCTTCTAACCGGGTCTCTGCTGTCAATCTTAGTCCGTCCACACCTTTCAATCCGCTTCTCGGTGACCAGCACACCATGCCATTGGTCGAGTTTCACTACGCGGAGGACTTGCACAAACCAGTGACTGAAGTAACAGCCACAAGTGGAGCGACTAGTCGATCTTGGCGTGAGCAGCACAAACGTGCAATTTCGGCAAGAGCTGAAAAGCCAAAAGATCGTCGCTGGTTTCGACGCCGTCATCAGCGTTCTACTCTGTGAGTGCTTGACATTGTACACCACCCCTGGTCAGTTTATGGTGAAACTTTTGATAACTTTTAGCTTGCTTCTCTTTAACGGCTTTTCGAGCTATGAGACAGTAAGACTAAGTTATGCTTTTCACTCGGCAGTTCATCAGTTCAGCCTTCCAGGTCCGTGACCCGATGCATCATTTTGGCACCAAGTCAAGCATTGGATTATGGCTCACTCTTCTATATTGTAAATTTTTCTCGTTCTCATAAGGTTTGAAGCTAACCGCCGATAAGTTCAGAGGCTCATGTACCAAAATATAGGGTTCACATGCTTTTTGTATGTCTAGGTATGCCAGGAATTTGTATTTGTTTATACTTTTGCGAGAACAGAATGTTCGCATTTCAGTCGAAAATTTACACATCTCGTCAATAGAAGGAAAGATACAAGTAAAATATTTCGCCTTTAGGGTTACTGAGAAATTCTGAGGAAGCGCTCTCTCGGTTTACAAGGATTCTGGCGAGATAGAGAACTGGGGAATTTCTGTAGAGACTGATGCGAGAGGATAATAATCGATAAGAAGAACGTGTCGACGTATGAGAGCAGCATTTAGATAAATCGCCATGTAAAGGATGGTTGGGGTCAGCGAGGATT